TGTGTTGCACACTACCGGAACTGACTGAAAGTGACATTGGTAAGCCACTTTAATAATTAATAATAATTTACTAATTAACCTGTACCTTTGAGTTATGACTTTCCCTGTCACTATTTTCTTGAAATAGGTTTCTCTTGAACCTCGCTGATGGAAAACTAGTTTGCACACTGTGCAGCACTGTGTTAAAACTTTTTTGGACAATGCACAAGAGCAGTGTGTGACACTGGCATCCAATCCATGCCAGGAAAAGACTATACAGGAAACATATCCTTCCAAGGCTGAAAACCATGAAGACAATGCCAAAACTTTCATCCTTCCTTCTAAATAAAACAAACTGCCCTCCAGGACTAATTGTTGCCAACATAAACACCATGAAATAGGTCAACATTTGGTCAAATGAAGTGAAGTCCTGCGTTCAGTGTCCTATTTATAGAGTGTTGTGTAAGCTAACTGTGGGGGGTATTGGCTCAAAATGACTGCTGGCTTGTGTTTTAATAGTGGGATAGTAGAAGAGTAGAATAGTAAAATCCAGACCTAATGAGTAAAAAAAAAAATCAGCACATGGTGCACAGAGGAAAAAAATAGCAACAATATAAATAGTGATGGATTCACAGACCTTTCAAACAGAATATTTTGATGTTATTTCTACTAGATTATGTTAAACCTTAATACAACAGTCCAATTTTCAAATAGCCTCAGTTAAAAAGGAAACTAGTTATACATTCATATTATTATTTAGACATTTTAAGTTCATCTTTAGTCCTGAACTTACTATCTTAAACAAGCAAGAACTGAAATGCTCTGCACCCACAATTAAGTTCCATTTTTCCAGCTTTACAGTTTCCATGTTGAACTTTTAAATAACAGCTCATCAGCAAGGTTAAAACGTAATGAAATTTCAGCAACTGATTAACCCAAATATACTCCAATGGTTTCAACTAATTTCTTTTTTCTGCATAGTACACCAGAGCAATAAGCACTGAAAGCCATGAAATACTTAATGAATTGCAAAAATACATCTTTAGCCATATGAGTTACATTAAATTGTTATGCAAATACCTTTTAGTACCACATAAATTAAAAATAAATGGCATAACTAACAATTCATGTTTAAAGTGAAAAAAACTTTGCTGCCCTCTGTGGAAAGATGAAGGTTGAACATGTGCTGAGAGCAGCTGGTGCACTCTGTCTGTAATGAGATTTCTTTGGTTTACAATGCAAAGCAATGCAGCTACATAACATGCATATATTATTCGCAGTCACAAGTGACACCCACCAGATGTTCCTTTAGAAAGCGATATATAATTTTACAAATACACCTCGAAGAACCATAAAACTACCACTGACTGAGTCAGTAAGCTGGTAACTTGGCATTTTCGGTTTCTAATTTGCTTTTGTGACTTCTCTTTTGCTAATCCTCAAATTTCTTTTCTGAATCCTCTTTCCTCACCTTGCTTTGTCAGTGCTTCTCTGAGGGCAGGGGTGATCATCTCCCTTCTTTCCCCTTCGTCTTCAATCTTCTGCACTCCGTTTAATTTGGATAGCTTCACCATCTGGCCGTCTCTTTGACTCTCCTCTTTGCTCTGAGGCAGAAACAAAACTTTCAGTCTATTATGGTCTACAGCCATATAAACATTTATATCTACACTAGGTAACAAAAGGAAACAGCTGGAGGGACATTTTGCAACTAATCAGGTTAACCGGCAACAAGTCCGTAACATCACCGAGTACAAAAAGAGCATCTTAGCGAGATGGGGTTTCTCAGAAGTAAAGATGGGCACAGGTTCTGCAAAAAGGGGATCTAGATCTGCAAAGGATGACAATGTTTATTAATGTTAAATTGTGAAGACTGAATGCAATGCTGTAGATGAGCCATCATCAAAAGATTCAGAGAAAAAGGCATAATTAAATGATGTCTTATTTATAGTATTTGAAAACGTTTTTCTGTTATGTTCTGTTGTGTGTGTAAAGAACAAAGCAACATAAAAAGTAAAGGCCACATAAATTGAGCATTTTGTTGTAAAGATGATCACGTCAATCCAGCTATGTATACATGCATATATATTTGTTTTGGTTTTGACAAGCAGAATAAATACATTAAGGAATCATTTACACACTTGCAAA